TAAATCTTAAATCAAGGCCAAATCACGGAATTTGCGCATTTGTACACATTTGTACATTTTGATAGTTACAGAGTGGCATTGTTTAGACATTTTCTTTATTGAGCTGATCCCATTCCTGATAAAAATTTCTAGACAACACCACTCTGGGATCGACCAAACAAACTTTTCACAGTTACAGATTTACGTTGTTTGGAGTTTTTTTTATTTATTTAGCTGAATTGATTCTTGATACATAATTCTAGACAACACCACTTTGTGATCGATCCAACAAACTTATCCCTCATTTACTTCAATAGTGTCATAATCCAAAAGATACAAATACTAAGTTAAGCATGCAGGAATTACCGCCACCTATACTTCACTATGCAAATTCAAAACTTTAAAGTCTTTTTTCCCGAGTTTTACTTTTTTGAGTTATGACACTATTCAAGTAAATGGATATTTAAGTTTGTATAAAAAATGGATGTTACTTTTTTCTTAGTGTATGGTCAGCGGTGCCACGCACATTTTCCAAAATTTTATCATAAACGTATTTCTTGCTAAATAATTATTGCAAACATCAATTCTGAATAAATTAGCTTCCGTATTTACTAATTTATCGAATATTTCGTATTTCTATAAATTACCGTTATATGCGATGTGGGCGTGGTTATTGTCCGATTTTAAAAATTTTCAACCGTTTGGTATGGTGTACTATGTTTAACTATGGGAGAAATTGGTGGCTACGCCCATTTTCCAAAAGTGTATAAAATTATTATTTTCGTCTAAAAATGATTGTAAATATCAATTTTGAGTGATTAAGCGTTAGTAGTTACTAAAATATCGCAGTTTTCGTATTTCTGAAAATTGCCGTTTTTTGTACGGTGACCATTCGTCCCGATTTTGGCGGGACAGTACGGATTTTAAGAAAATTGTCTCGCTGAATATTTTTTAAAAGTCGGGACGTATAAGTGTCCCGATGTTTCATATTTGTACCGATTAAGTCCCGATTTTCAGTATTTTCTTTATTAATTTAATAAGAGTCTCTCTGTAGTCTGGCCCAAAACTAACTTTTCGTACAAACGTGACAGCATCACAAAGAACATAGAATATAAGGGAGCCATAAATATAGCCAGCATCCTTATTTTCTATGATCTTTGGTTATGTTTTATTCTATAAAACTGGTACTCTCGCTATATTGGAGTCTGTCATTATTTTCTATTTAAAAAAAAAGAGGTTATTAATACGTCAGAATATTTTTTGTATGTATGTTACGGCATAATTATGGACCACCTTTACCAATTTCTATAATTATTTTTTAAAGGAAAGGTGGTACTTCAGAGGTGGTCCCATACTAATTTGGTTTAGGTCCGATCATTGGATCATTGAGAAATTAACGGTTAACTTAAATTTTTATATTATAATTGAAGTCGTTTTGTTTTTTGCTTAAAAATCAATTTTATAATTCTTTGTTCACTTTTTTTTTTATTTTTAATGAAACGATTCCAAGTTGAATTTAGTGAAATTATAAAAAAAAATACTAATTCCCCCCAAAAAGAATGATGTGAATAATATAAGTTGTAGATACAGTGGCGAAAATATAAATTGGGAAATTACATTTTAGCATTCTTTGGCGATTATTAAATGTTTATTATTTTTTTATGAAAGTATAGCTTGTCATTTAATAAAGACCATTTATGTCAAAGTTTCAAACTTTGCACAAAAATTAGCAAAACACGAAAGACTTTTATCAAAATGTTGAGCTCATTAATTATATTTCTCAAAAATGAGAATGAGTATGCAGTTTTATAGCCCATTCAATACAAAGGGCAAATTTTAAGTAGCTTGGACTTGCCGTAGATTTTTTGGTATTTTTTTTTGTGGAAGATGCTGCTCATTTTCTCTACACAAAAAAAAAATTTGTAAATACTTTCTATGGAGGAATATGCGCGAACAAAAAATTTCCAAAAATCAACGGTAAGACACACTAGTTTTTAACAGTTTTATAAACATTTTAGTAAGTCAACTAATGTTTGTAAATAACGGTATACGCAACAAATATGATTGCAAATGAACAAAGAAGATTTAAAACTTTTCAAAAACTAACAGTTAGCGACCGCTGTGGTTAGCAGTGTGCGCTACCATTCCGCAGGGCCTGTGCTCAAGCCCAGTTGCCGAACAACATCAAAAAATAAAATAAACAAAAAAGCTTTTTTTCTAATAGCGGTCGCCCCTCGGCAGGCAGTAGCAAAACCTCCGAGCTGCACGAAAAAAGTATGACTTCTAACAAAAATTTAAAAGACCATCGTATTGAATTATTCATGGACGAAGGTAGAGGCGATTCCCTATTATTGTCATATTAATTTTCTTATGCAGTAAAAACCATACTCTATTATATTAGCTAGTCTCTGCTCTGTGTGGAACTGCATTGCTGTTGCGCATAATTTTCTTACTAAAGTAAATGAAATGCGCCAGCACCCTGATGAATTGTTCAGTTATATTTTTTAACAGTGAAACCAAACAGCGTAATTGACCAAACAAATATATTTGACTTCATTCTTTCAACTTTACATAATGTGGAAAACCTAAGAAATATAATAAAATACGATATATTAAAACAGCCTCCAAAATCGTCTACAAGAGACGCCCCTGATCTACACAAATCAGTTTGATTGGAAATTTATTTATTTTTTATTTTGTTTATACTTTACTTCACAAACTCTTTTTGATTACGTTCGAAATTTTATATTATCACTAGCAATTACCCGGCGTGCTTCGCTGCGCCATAAATGTATTTTTGTGTTGTAACCCTCTCCCAAAACTCGTATGACCTCATTTATACAATATATTTAAAGAGCTTTATGAAGTAAGATTTCAAAAAAATATTCGATATATGAAGCATTGTTTACTTTTTTGAGTGTGGGTGTTAATTAATATCTTTTCGAAGGTAATTAGAAAATATGTAAAGTACACACTTTCTTTTGGAAATTTAATTTATAATCTTATAACTGGAGTCTACTATCGCACCCTTTCCTCAAACGTGTGCTAATTCAATCATATTTTTTGTTACAACGCCGAACAATTGTGGGTCGATTGCTTCATCTGGAATTTCCGCCGAGATGACTTTATCAATGTTTTTTAATAATTGTAAACATTCGCCAGCTGTTTCTGTTTATTTATTAGTAAAAGGCAGGAGTGCCAATCT